ACGAGGTTGTCGATGACTACCTTTCCCAAGCTTTGCTTGTAAGCAAGCTGATGGCGGGGCTTGATTTCCTGGTAAATATGCCAGTAAAATTTACCGTTGAAATAAATGGATTAATTTTGAAGGGATTGGATGTCTCATTTATGAAGCCGAACCTTCATTTGAAGCTAAAAATTTTTAAAACAATCAAACTATCATAGTTACAACAGTTATCCTCCTTTTCGCATTTAATGAAAACATAAGTTCCCCTATAAAATCCTATTTCATTATAATCCTGCTCTTCTTTTCCAGTTCTCTCCTTTCTTTCGCCCCACTCCACTCGGTTCTACTCCCTCAAAAACAATCTTATTGTGAATCGTTTACTGCAGTTTTTCTGAATAGTTTTGATAATTTTCATACATCTACTGATTTACTGATAATCCTAAATTAAAGGTGACAAGCAAATTTTGGGTGAAGAATTGGAAAATTTGAAAGAGCTAGAAGACGGAAAGAGGAGCTCCAACAACGGACAACAGTAACTGTTTATCAATTGTTTTTTTTTTACGAAATATTTGATCCAGAAAGTTTTTCAGAAATACAGTTCTTAAATACAACTTGTTTGAAGCAAGCCAGTAAATTATAGCATGCTGGTGCATGTTTTTTGCCAACTAATGCACAGATTACATGAACAATTATGTTTCTATGGCGTTTTTTAGGACATGATGGATGCATGCATCGAACACTGATTTATCGTGCGGCACCCATGTTGGAAAATGGACAGTTGTTTGTACGGCTTGAAATTTTTTGCTTGAAATGTCAGCAACTCTGCAGTTTATTTTCATCGAATAACTTAGTGGTGACTTGTCCTAGCATGCATGGGGCCCAGATTACCTCAAATTCTCAGGATGCTCTTGGAAAAAAAGGATCTAGATCAGCCAGCCAGGTTTTTTATTTTTTCGAAATCGTTTGTATCCATATTTTCGAAATCGTTTGTATCCAGGTTTTTGATCAAAAGTGCAACGATTGCTTAGGCTTAAAAAACAAGGCGTAGTCTTGGTTATGGTACTAGCTGCCAAACTTGACTTTTGACTTTCCGGAAAAGATTATAATTCGCATTTTTCTTTTGCCTGATCATTCTTACTAGTTCTGACTTATTTTAAACGTTTTTATTCGCTCTGCCAATCTAT